GTTTGGGGTTTAGGGTTTAGGAATTTGGGCTTTAGGGTTTCAGGGTTTAGGGCAGAGGGTTTAGTAATGTAGGGGCCTTAATCATTAGAATAGGGCTTTTTGGGGCCATTATACTGTAATTATAAGAAGGAACCCCCAAAATAGCATAGGTAATTCTTAAAGCCCCTATACTGGGGCTTTAGGGTTTCAGGGTTGGGGGTGTTCGGCTAATAGGAATTCGGGCTTTAGGGCTTCAGGGTTTGGGGTTTCAAATTTACGGCTTTGAGGCTCATAGCAATAAAGGCTTTAGGGGGTTTAGGGATTTTCTGGGGTTTGGGGTTTAGGGCTCAGGGAAAAAGGCTTTAGGGTTTCAGGGTTTGGGGTTTAGCGTTTACCCTAAACCCTAAACCCTAAACCCTAAACCCTAAACCCTGAACCCTGAACCCTAAACCCTTTACCCTAAACCCTTAACCCTAAACCCTAAACCCTAAACCCTAAGTCCTAAATCGTAGGGCGCTAGGGATCTCTTTTGAAGGTCATGCCTTTGGGGGCTTCGGGGTCTAAGGTTCTTGAAGTTCAACCCCCAAACCCTGAACCCTAACCTGCCCCGTCATAACCTAGAACCGACTTTTTGGTTAAATTTAGGAGACCATGAAACAGTACTACTAGTTATTCAAGACACTCTACTACCTACTTCCACTCTGATTCGTCTGGGGCTTGGATTTGGCCAAAGGTTTCGGGTGCCAGGTGCGGAGTGAAGATGCGGTCGAGAGTCTGAGCATTTGGGCTGTAGGGCTTAAGGGTATGAGGTTTGGGATTTTGACCCTGCAGCTTAGAGGCATTCATGCGAGTTTCGGGTCACAAGGATTTCCGCGAAGCCTGTCGTGTCTCAAATAAAAATTAGCGCGCTTTTACATAAGCACTTGTTCAAGTTGATGGTTGCATCTCTACAAGATTTCTATGTGTATAAATGTATGCGTGTATGTATGTATGTATGTATGTATGTATGTATGTATGTATGTATGTACGTATGTATGTATGTATGTATGTATGTATGTATGCACCTGTATCTATGTGTTTCTTTTATGTATAGATAGGCGGTCAGTCATCTATATACATATATATATATATACACGATGATTGGACCACTTATGTACTTGCACTTCTGTGTTTATTGACTGGTTTATTGCTTTCTTCGTTTGCTTCTCTACCTGCTTATTTACTGATTAATTCATTCAGTCATTCTTTCATGCTTTATATTTGTCCACACGCAGTGGGTGTGTATATATATATATGGTATATGCATAAATAGGCAAATACAAATATGCATTATGCGCATGTAAGTTTTATACATAAACTACGTATGCATACACACCAGATTGCTATCCGGACATACACATATACACATGCAGATATACGTATGCATTACGTCCTTAGCCTTATTACCGATTCGCTCTGCTTGTCCAGCTCGCTCCGTTTCCTACCTCCAGCCCTAAAAGCAAAACTCTGAACCCTCAACCCCTGAACCCTAAGCTCCTAAACCCCAAACCCTGAAACCGCAAACCCTACAACCTTTAACCCTAAACCCTGAAACCCTAATCAAGAGTTTAGACCACCCGAGGCCCGAGCTCGAGGCAGAGGCCACCACCTGGTCGATGGGAGAGAAGGCCACGCACCTGGGGAAACTTGGAGGATCATGGGACTTAGTAGGTAAGGTTATAAGCCCCTTAGTTGGGATCATAAGTAAATATAAGTATAGTTGCCTTAATTATAACCCTACTTACTAAGTCCCATGATCCTTTAAATAGCGTTGAGGATTTTCGGCCGGAGGCTTTCCAATGTGATTCAGGGTTTTGGGGTGCTTTTGGGATTCAGGATTTAAGCATTTAGGGATGGATTTGGGCTTTAGGACTGTAGGGTTTTGGGGTGCTTTTAGGATTAAGGATTTAAGCATTTAGGGATGGATTTGGGCTTCAGGGCTGTAGGGTTTTGGGATTTGGGCTCAGGTGGCGCTTTGGCAAAATCTGGAGTTCCGATATCTTGAGGACAGCAAGTCCAAATGCTGTTCGACGGTAGCCAAGGCACCAGACACCTCGCCGGTGTCCTTTGCCTGAGAAGGTTTGGTTGTGGGCTGAAGGCTTCAGGCTTTGGGGTTTAAGGTCTAGGGTTTAGGGTTGAGGGTTTAGGGTTTAGGGTTTAGGGTGCCCGTTTCACGGTTAAGAGCTCAGGGTTAAGTTTCAGGTTTTTTTTTTGGGGGGGGGTGAAAGAAAGGCTTCCAGAGATAAGAGGTGTAGTTTTAACTGCGAGGCTCCAGGGCTGGTCTCGGTTAATACTCGGCATTTTGCCTTGAGGGTTTATGGCAGGAGCTGGGCCCTAAACCAAAACCCCCTAAACCCTAAACCCTAAACCCTAAACGCTGAACTCTAAACCCCCCTAAACCCTAGATACAAAACCCTAAACCCTAAACTCTGAATTCTAAATTGGGGTTTCGGACCGGGGTTTGGGTTTCGGGCTGGGAGAATGCTTTCTAGGCTCTCGTTTTGGGTTTACGGAGCGGCGGTCTACTGCCCCCATTTTAGGGTTTAGGGTTCACGGTTTAGGGTTCATGCGCTCCCCCTCCATGGACTCTTGCGGAGCTCTGGAGTCTACTTGCCTGGGAGCTGGGTATTTTTAGCATGGTTTCGGGTTTGGGGCTTCCGGCCTGCTGGTTGGGTTGTATGAGTTTGTATGAGCTGGAGGCTGCTGTGAGAGACTAGTGCTTGAGCCACTACCCTTTTGACGTCGGGGCGCTTTTCGCATACAACACCGAAATCCTGAACTACCAGAAAGCCCTAAATGCTGAGCTTCTATGTAGGGCCCAAACCCCTACTGTATCTCCAGCCCCCTTACAAAGGAAGCTAAACCCTGAAGTGTCTGCACGGTCTCAGCTAGCGATGAGATCCTGATCTTAAGACCCTTGCAGAAAGGGACATTCCACAATCACGTGTGCACATTACTGCCTGGATAAGGAGAAGCAAACATAGAAGCCTGCATGATTCGAATAGGGTTCCGGGACATATCATAAATGAAACACAGAACTACAAGAGATTATTACTGGTATCGATTCTTCCCAGCCAGTGGTACGCAAGGCTGCTTGTGTTGCAGGGTTCAGGGCTTCAGGAGCAAACGTGATAACACTTGGCCTAATCCTGGCTGTAGGGTTTAGGTTGTAGGTTTCAGGCTAAACCCTAAACCCTACACCCAAAAGCCTAAACCCTACACCCAACACCCTAAACCCTAAACCCACGGGATTTTAAGCTTCAGGGTTCAGGGTTACGGTTTTGGGTTTAGGCACTACAGGATTCAAGGTCGTTCCTGCTTTCGGATGTTGAGTTTGGGGTTTGGGTGCCTGGGGCGCCCGTGTCTCTGAAGAAGGATCTGCTTTGACGATGATGATCATCATCATGACGATGACTATTACTATTATGATTACCAAAGTAAGTACTACCACTATAGTTACCATTATTATTGCTACTAATATTACTATCTGTTTGGAAGAAGCCAAGGTCAGAGCACTCCCCTAGCAGGTCGCCCTCGGGAAACTTCCAGATGCGAACCAGCTTGTCCTGCCCAAGAGCTGGCTTTTGGGTTCGCTTCCTCTGCGGGGCTGAGGCCATCAACCTGAAGAGCAACACTTCAGGGTTTAGGTTATAGGGTTTTGGGTTTCGGGTTCCTAAACCCTAAACCCTAAACCCTAAACTAAACCCTAAAGTTTAAGTTCCGAGTGCCTAAACCCCTTCATCCCGACAGACGCCCGAGCACATGAGTAGCGGGGCCGCTCCTGCCCACCGCTGGCTATGAGCTTGTTGTTTGGTGAAACCAAGACCTCAGCACCAGCGACTCCGACCATTACGATTGATGTAGGTGTCTGAAATTATTAGAAAAGGGTTTTGGGTGGCTCCTTGTTATAATTATAGTATAGTAGACCCCAAAACCCCATTCTAGCTATGAAGGCTCCTAGATTATCAACCAGCGCCCCAGGACCAAGGTAGTGGGGTGTGTTGCATCGACGTCCCGGCATTCGAACTGCATTTGCAGGTGTTCACACCGGTCCAGTGCAGATACCTGCTGAGCTGATGAACCTGGGGTCTTGGGACGATGACCCCCAAAACAAGAACCAGCATCGAGAAATGCACCTGAGTGAACTCCAAGACTTGTCAATGGGGTGCACCGCTACTACTACGACGACGGCTACCACCACGACCACGACCACGACCACTAAGGCGACGACGACAGCCGTTCTTCCCGCTGTTCTCGTTGTTTGCACTGCGATCTGCATGTTGCTGGCAATGCTGCGCTTTCTACTCTCGGCCAGCCAGGGATTGATACAGTTCCTCCAACCTTCACGAGTATTGTGAGAACTGTACTGCATTTGGTGCTCCTGTTTTCGTTCTTGCCACTATTGACGATCGCCACTAACACTTTGTGATGCCAACCTGGGTGCCTGCGCACACCTGAGAAGCCAAGGCAAGGACGTCATTGACTTCCTTTGAATGAGCAATGACCTCACTGGGGCACTGGGTTTGGGTTTGGGCGGTTGGGGCTCAAAGCAGCCAGCCTGCAACTGCCAAGCACTATAGAATAGTATAGGGGCCTGAATAATCAGAAAAGGTTGGAGGGTATATTATACCACAATTGCTATAAGGAGCCCCATCATAGTACCGGTAATTATGCTATTCGCTTCTACAGGAGGTGCCAGATTTCCTTTCGAAAAGCCGAACAATCAAAACCTGATACAGTTAGGGTTTAGGGTTTAGGGGCGACGACTACAAGCATTACTATGGTCACTGCCTTACTCTCTTGCAAGTACCACTACGGGGGTTCATTTCTTACCTTGCGATGGAGAGAAACTCAGGATCCCAGACAGGAGCTCGACTACTACGAAAAACGGTTCTTGGTTTCGGAACACTAGACCCTCAACCCCAAACCCTAA